AGAATCACAGTTCTACAAGGCTTATAAGCAGGCAGCAATTACTTCTATTGTTGCCTGAATCTCAATCAATGCCTTCAGCTCTTTTAATTGAGTTCTTTTTCTTATTTTTATGTTTACTTTTAAATACATGCTTATATATACTATTTCTTGATTGAAAATTTTAGGTATTACCTATGGAGCCCCTGGAAGGTTGAGATCTTGTTTTCACCTCCCCTCTCCCCCACATGGTCTCTCCCCTTTGGGTAATATGGTCAGTGTTTACACTCCTGGGAAATTCTAGGAAATTTTTCCCTAAGGATTTCTTTCCCTTCCTTTCTCTCCTATCTTGCTATGTCCCCTCCCATGTGCCCGGTACCTTGACCGTGCCAAGCTCTAAGGATTTCTCACTTAGGCGCCGCGGGAGGGGACTTTCGGGCCCCTCACAACATCTCAGAAATAATAAGATGCCCTGGTTTCCTAGGGCCCCAAGTTGGTTTTGGGCCCCTGGCAACATCTCAGAAGCAAAAAGAAATTAATGTACTACATGTCATGCTTCTATTAAAAGAATCACTGTACCCCTATATTTGCTTGCCAAGAAAAATTGTATAAATGCTCTGCAATCTTAAAAATAAATCACATTCAGATATGCACTCCTAGAAGTCGTGTCTGCCTGTCACTCAGCCTCATCCTTGTCCACCCTGTGCCAGAATTGCCATCCTGAAACTTGTCTCATGCTCCTGCTGTGCTGGTTCGCGGCACTACCTTTTTACAGAATTTCTCTTATGCAGACACTAGGTTGTCTCTCCTCTTTGTTATACTTCTCTTTCTGGGAGATGATGTCAAGTTTTTCACCCAACCTTCCTTTTAAGTTTCTGTTTTTGAGATCTTAGTTGTTAATTTCTGGAAGGTAGTTCATTCTCTGACTGTCACTTTCATAGTCTGTGTGAAAATATTAAGTCATTTTACAGAGCAGTTTTCTTCCTCCTGTATCATTTGTGCTGTCTCCAACTTGGGCTTCGTTTTGTTTTGTTTCCTTTCCTGTGTTTGTGTCTGTCCTTCGTAGGAAATGCTTTCCTGGCAGTCCCACCAGCAACAGAGCAGCATCCTCCCCTCAAGGGCCTTTCCTCCTCCTCCCAGAGCCCAGCCTCACATGCCTCTGCCTGGAGAGGGCAGCCTCAGCCTCACACTAGGGTACTCAGGGGCTCCAGGATCTAATGGTCTTTTAAAAATGATTCTCAAACAGTTCTGCTTTCAATTGCATTCATTACCAGAGATAACTGGTCTGGCAACTCCTGAATTTTTGAGTGGTGCTGTTTTGCAAGCCCTAGGGATTTTGCGCTCTCCCTGCTGGAGATCCCTCTCTCAGGCCTGCTAATCACCATCTCAGGCCCTTCTGTCCAGGGTCCTGGGTCCTGGGAGCGCTGCGCTCTGCTGCCTCCCTGCTGCCTCCCCCTTGGCCTGCCTGTCCAGGTGAGTCCATACCTCCATCCTTCAGTTCTCTCTTGGCATTTTGAAATCTGTCATCCTTAGCTAGAAGTTTGAATGTGAGATTTTATTTTCCTATTCAATTACGAGAGATTTGGAAATCTCTGGGGGTGCTATTTCCATGTGGATAGCGTTCTCTGTTTCGTATCCACGCTCTCCCTATTACCTTGCTTTTAGTTTCCAAGTCTGTTTTCCCTTTGCAGTATTGTCAGTGTTCTTAGTCTCTAGAATTTCACTTTTTGAAAGAAATGGAGAACGACGAGTATTTCTCTTTGTTTATACATGTCGTCAGGAGCAGTTTGGCTCATGGCTGCTCTGTTTTCTTGGTAGCTTATTATTTATATTATTGTGAAATATTTCTCTGTTCCCTTTTATTCTTATCAACCTGGATTATATTTTACTTGAATTTTGTTTTATTTTATTTTCATTTGATCTTGCTAAGTACACATTTGTTGGTTTATATATTTTTTTACTGCTGTTTGGTTTTTAACTTTTTTGCACAGTGCTCTCTCATTCTGAGACTTAGTCACCCACCTTCTACCTTAAGTGACAAATCTGACCTAATCACATTTATTATGACAACCTGAATGTTTCAACTAATTCCTTAACATCTTATTGATGTAATTTTTATTTTCCATTTATATTTCTCTTGTCTCACCCCTGGCTCCCATTTTCTGCTCATTTGCTGAACTGTTTAATTTGTCATATTTTCCTTCTGTGTTATGTATTGGGAGTTGTTCTTTCCACTTCTATCAGATCTCATTTCTATTCAAAGCCAAGAAACCCAAAAGTAAATGACTGGAATAGCTAGGCTTAACATGAGTTCCCAAACAGCTGATCAACAAAGAATAGGGCAGGAGTTCTCATAGCTCATGAAATATTTCAAAATATTTCAAATATTTCAGAAGCTAAAACCACTAAGATGGGGAAAAAAAAAAAACCGCCTAGACCCTTCTATCAGTGAAGCGGCAGCATCTGTCTGCTAGAAACTGTAGGGACAAGTATTGGAAAAGGCTGGAGGACAGGGCCACACTTTCAGGTTCTTCTGCTGGAAAGCATCTTGCCTAGTGTTTCCTCTGAGCTTGTGCTTCCTCCTGGGATTTTCCCCATCTCCATGCTCCACATCCTCGTCCTCTGCTGACCCTCCTGCCAGCGAGGAGGGGAGAGGGGGAGCGATAGGACTCTGGAGAGAGAACAAGCATGTGGGTTGAAAGTGACTCTCGCCATGTGCCCTGTACTCTGGGCAGCATCAACGGTAGCTGGACATCCCTGTTCTTGACAATTCCCTCTGCTAGACAGATGACAGGCCGCCTGTCAGGAGGCTGCTCAGCGCCTGGGCACTTCTGTCACCGTTAACAGTGAGCAGGGCACGTTTTTCCAGGAACCAGATATTGAGAATTATATCTAGTCATGCAATTAGCTGGAAATTTGTGGGCTATTCTGCCAGCAGACATGCAGGTTTGAGATCATGCTGTAAACGCTAAATGAGCCCAAGCTGACCAGCAATCCCCTTGAAATTGGAAATGTGGGCAGTGGGGTTGGTAAACAGTCATGTTTTGCAGGAAGAGGAATCATGGAAAGGAATATGGGCCCAGAGGATTTGGGAGTGTCAGCTAGGCTTAGAGCATCCAAAAGAGAAGCCCAGTAAGATGCTGGCATCTCTTCAAATGCTGACTCCGTTAGGAAGCCGGTGGCTCCCTGGCCTTGAATCCCCTGGTGCAGTTTGGGTTGGGCCCTAGGACACCTCCTGTGTCCAAAGTGCTGATTGGGATGTCAGTGCCTCCATTTTATTAGTTGTTTCCACCAGAAGCCAATAAAGTCTGGAAAAGATAGCAGGGAAAGAAGACAAATACCCCATTTGGGAGGTTGGAAGCGAGGTTTCCTGTGGACTGCAACTAGTAAGGCTTACCCTGGGGTCGCCTGGGGAGCGTGTGCAGGTCCACATGGTGCCTGGCGCCTCTGCCTGTACACTGGTTCACTGGACTGGCCCGCTGGTACAGCACAGCCTTCCCAGGGGATGCTGGGAAGGGATGCTGTGGCTGGGCCAGGAGCAGGACGGCGGCTGGGTCACAGGCCACAGGCAAGGTTCTGAGAGGCTGGGGACCCTGGTGACTCTGGTCACAATCACGTTAGCCAGAAAAGCCAAGTCACTGCTGAAGAGCCGAAGCTGGTCTTCAACATAAATGTAGTGTGGATCAGGCATCGTCTGGGGCACCAGTAATCCTGGCCTTGCTGTGCAGCACCTTTTGCTTTGACCTTAGATCTGTCTTAACAAGGGGAGCTTGCCATACTCTCTGCACGCCTTTCCATTAGAAAGAATGCACCGAAGATAGACTCTAATATGTTGCCACTGAGTCCTGACCTGAGGCTTCCTCCTTCTCAAGCTGAGACTCCCATTTTCTTCCAGAGGGACCTGACATAGAGGAGAAGTATTAAAGCTATATTTCTCCCAAATGGACACGTCCTCCTTGATATACTCAGAAGAACTGAAAGACAGGTGAAAGATTTGGTTTCTTGCTGCGGGGTGACGTGATCCCACAGAGCAGTAACTCTTCACATCTGCCGGGCACCCAACCTGCGCCACCTCCACCCACCTCCACATTGTGAGGACTGCTGAGCTGTGCTCAGGCTCCCGCCCAGAGGCTCTGTGACCACTGACCCGGGGCGGGTCTCCTCTTCCTTTCTGACTTAGAGTGACGACTAGAAGCATCCTTTGGGAGTCCTGTACATGTTGCTTCAAGGGGACACAGGTGCACTTTTCTCCCATTTTGCCCAGGGAATGGGCACCAGACAATCCTGACCTCTGGCTGCAGTCCAGCTCACGTGAAACCTGTGTGTCAGCAGCTGCAGTCAATGGCTTCAGCTTTTACATTCTCTTCCCCTTTTTCTCCAAGAAAAGTGAGGCAACCTACCAAGTATCCCCTCTCTTCCTGAACCCTACAGCCAGGGTAGCTCACCGGCTCTGCCCGTCAGCTGCCTTGCAGTGCAGACCACGCAGGAGTGAGCAGGCCACATGGAGGCGGGGTGAAGAGAGCAGCTCTGAGTGAGGGCCCGAGTGCAATCTAGTGGAAAGGTAGATGTGTCAGGCAGCTGAAATAGTTCTTGCACTGCTGGCGAGAAGCAGAAGCAGCCACTGACTGCAGCTGCTGACACACGGGTTTCACGTGAGCTGGACTGCGGCCAGAGGTCAGGATTGTCTGCTGCCCGTTCCCTGAGCAATGGAAATAAAGTGCACCTGTGTCCCCTTGGAAGCACAAAAGACTAAAATTTTAGAAAGGATGGTCTCTATCAACATTCTAAGGAAACATTTTCATCACCAACGCTGTGATGTGTTTTGGTCAAACAAGCTATGGAACCAAGAACGGAGGCTGAGAATTTAAATCAATTTGGAAGTCCTGATGGAGTGTTCTTCTGAGTGCTGTCAGTGGCTTGGGTTCTTAAGAGGGTCTCTCGGCTGCCCCCACCCCCTGGCCATAGCTTGGCCTCTTGGAAGCTCTGCCCTGAGGCCCATCAGACACAGGACATGTGCTTCTTACCTGGGGCTTGGTCTCATCTTTGTCCTTGTAGTAGAAAAGCTGATCTCCACGCAGCACGAACCAGCGCTGCTGCCAGTTCTTCATGATGCTCCTCTGCTTCTTCAGCCAGCCGGCCTTCAGCACGGGGCCCAGTCTGCGGGGGCAGGGCGGCCGCCCGGGGCTCCGGCTCTGCTCCCCCATCACCAGGCTCTTGGAGCGGGCTGGAAACCAAGAACACACACAGTGAGCATAAAGAATGGCATGCCTGTTTCCAGTCCCTGCCCCACCCTGGCATCCCAGCTGCTCTGTGACTGGGTCACAGAGGCACAATCATGTCTGTTCTACTACCTCCTGGGCAACAGAGGACCATGGGTTGGAGTGCAGATCCACCAGCAGGTTGGCACAGGTGCCCAGCCTGCCTGCCTGGTTAGTTTGAGGTATGTCATGAAAAAAATAAGAAGAAGAAGGAGGATTTTCCATGGGTCTTACTCTAGCAGAATAGGATCACTGACAGCGGGGAGATCAAGGGCAGGCATTATCTCTTCTCTCTGCCACCATGAGCAGCTGTGATGGCTCTGTGGGTACCAGCTGTCACTTGAGTCAGACCACGTAGGTCCACATTTGCTGGACCTTGATTCCCTGTTGCCATCATTGGGCCATGGGGTGTTGAATGTCCCATGTCTGGGTGCCTTGACCCAGAGAGGAAGGGGGTTGCTCTCTGCTGTGCCCCATTGCACTGAAGGGAGACTTGTCATCCTGAGGGTAGCAGGTTCCTTCCAGAGACTGAAGGAGAAAGCAAATCAGAGAAGTCAAGCCCGGATGGTGTAGACAGGCTCCTCCTCTGGCACCTGTAGTGTGCCCTGCACCTGAGGCCGACCTAGCCTGGCTCTGGCATGTACCTGCTATTTACCCCTCTGCTCCTCTCCTTCCCACGGGCCTGGTCTCCAGGCATACTGATGTGCTCCGGCTGAAGGGATACTTCCCCGTTTATGACTATGGCCCTTTTCTATCCCTGTGCATTACCTAGGATGTCCTCCACTGCTGGGCACTTGGAATCTTTCCAGTTTTAGTTAATTAAAGAGACAATGGAGTCCAGGTAAAGACACACAGGCCCAGGTTTGGGCCACTGCCAGCTCTGTGAACTCTCTGGTCTCAGTGTGTTGATGCAGAACTGCTTCCTGAGTGTGCACTCCAGGTCAGCGCCTGGGGAGAAAGGCGGGACCTTTCATTGGCTTTTGGTCCTTTCAGTGGTATTACATATTTCCTTCCAAACATGGCATGTGGAGAGCCTCCCTCGTGGCGTAGGGGTTAAGGCTCAGCGTTATCACTGCGAAGGCCTGAGTTCCATTCCGGCCAGGGAGCTAAGCCACATATGGCACAACAGACCTCTCCTGTCACCCGCTGCTCCCCTCAGCAGTGTATTTCAGTAGATCTGCCTGCTCTGCTCCCCACTCTGTCTCTGGTGAATCCTCTCAGTCCCTGCACCTGTGGCCTACACTCCAGCTCTTGTATGCATAAATAAATAAAAATAAATCTTAAAAAAAGTAGTGTGTGGATACTGACACCACAAAGTTATTCTAGTGTCCCACTTTCTCCATAGCAAGTAGTAGGAAATACCAGATTCTGAATAGTCTTATTCCATAATTTAGTAGGTATAAAACTGACTGAACACGCCACTTTTGGATTACTTAAAAAAAAATGAGGGAATATCTTCACATAGGGGTCTACTAACTGCAAAGCACCAGCCTACTCCCTTTGCGCCTTTCCCTTACTAGTGAGAGGTGCTGGGGTGGTGCTCCAGCCGGGGCGCCTATCGGTCCATGGGTCACTTGGGCCGCTTTCCTTCTCACACGAGCCCTTCCCCAGGGCTCCTGGGCCTCTGGAAAGACCACCTTGTGGTGCCAGTGTGTGTCACGCAACTCTCTGCCCTGCAAACTCAGCAGTCTCCCATGGAGGAAGAAGTGCCCTGCTGGGTGAGGATGGGCCAAGCTTCTGGCAGAAAGGTGGGGCTGTGCAGACGAACCCGGGGGTGTCAGGAAGGGCCTTTCCTCCTAGGTCTTTCTCCTACCACTCCTCCTTCCAGAGGGGCAGATTAGGACTGTATTTACTGGATCTTGCTGACCCCTTCCCAGGTTCTGAGACTGTGTGGGGCTCAGGGAACATGCTAGACATGAGGATTATTATCATCATCCAGGTGTTCTGGTGGAGGAACCCACTTCATGGAATATACTAGCACCACGTGTCTAGTTATGTCTCTTGTCTTCTATTACAATGGGTCTGATACTGTCTCATTTGACAAGATCATGGTGCTGCTTGGACCAAGACCCCTGCACTGGATCAGCATATAATAGCAGTCCAGCAGAAACTCAGCGACTCATCACTAGAGCCCGACACTGAAGAGTGCAGTGTCCTGTGCTGGATGGTTCTGTGGAAGTGCTCTCTGTCCAGGTGTGTCAGCCCGGAAAGCCTAAGTTCTTGGAGTAAGGACCCTGGCTGCTGAGCCTGGCAGGGAGCAGGTGGCCAGCATACTTGTGCAGTGAATAAATAACCACAGGTATGTCAGCCCTCAGCTTCTCACTGCAGCAAGACAAAGAAGAAAGGGGTGGCGCTTCTGTCCTGATTTTTAAGCTTTGGGCTTCTACCCTTCGAGGGGCTGCAAGCATGAAGAGAGCAGACCCAAGCAGAGACCTGTTCACCAGGACAAGGGGGCTGCACCTATTTAGGGAAGGAAGCTACGGCTGGTGGGTCTGTTTCAGCAGAGGCAGCATCCCTGAGGGCCCAGACCTGTTACCACCACCTCAGCTCTTGCTTCTTCAGCTCACTAGGGAGGCACTTCCTGCAGATGTTACTCAAGCTGCCAAGCTAGCCTAGGTTTTCCCCCAGCTGATCAATCACGCAGATACTATTTACAAGGCCGATTGAGCATCTTGAAAGGAAAATAATCGTTGTCATGACTTATTAATAACCACTGTTCCTGTCCTCAGTGTTTCCTTGAATCAACTTATTCAGTTCTGTAAATATTTAAACCAAGGTTTCAAGACGAATAGGGCTGACATTTGAAGACTCCAGAACTGATGAGTGTTTCTAGAGAGGGCCCATGAATGGCTCTCACCTGGAAAGGAGAGGAGGGTGCTGTCTGCTCTCCTCAAAGTAGGGGCTCTTTTGCCCACAGGCACATTATTCACTCACTCACTCACTCACTCACTTACTCACTCACTCACTACCATCTTCTGAATCCACACAACTCCTCCAGGTACATGCAGAACCTTGAGTTGTTCATGTTTCCTGGGAAAGCCCAGCCTGGCAGGGGAAATAAACCATAAAGGACAACCACACAGGTATGAAAGAGCCACAGGCTGAGTGGACAGGCAAAGGTTGTGGACGCTTAGGTGAAGGTGTGGACTTTTCCCCAGAGCCAGAGGGGAACACTGAGCTGAGCCTGAGGATGATGAGAAATTGGGCCTACCTCCAGGCAGGTGGGGCTCTGACTTGAGAAGAAGGAGCTGGTGGATGGAAGGTGAGGCACAAGTGTCTGTGAGGTGACAGCTAGAACCAGCTGGCTAACATCAATAATGCCACTTAGTCCTCAGGATAACACAGAATAACCCTGCCTTTGTGTAAATTCTAATTGAGACTCAGGAAGGAAGCAGTTTATACAAAGTCACACGTCATTGTTACAAAGTGGAGCCAGGAGTTAAATCCTGTGGGTCCTGGTCACCATGACTCTTATAATTCTTCCCCAGTAGGCCCAAGCCCAAGTGGTCACTAAATGCTTCAGAGCAGAGGTGCACTAACTGCCATGGAGAGAGAGAAGGCGCCCAGCCAGAGCGTCCACAAGACAGACAGCTTAGTTTCCATCCACCTAGGGGCTGCTCAGGATGAGAACACAAATCAACTCAAACCCCAGAGGGTGGAGTTCTGGGTGGAGGAAATGGAATGCGAGGACCAAAGGATGCATCTACTAGAGAAGCGTGAAGGCTGTGTAGCCAGGGAATGTGAGGTGAAGGGCCACAGGCCAGCTACTGGCTCAAGCTCTTTTCCTGTTAAGGAAATGGGGATCTTTGGTTTCTCAGGGTTGAAGAAATTAAAGAAACATACAGAGAAGGAAGTGCAGGTGGGCCAACAAAGAGGTCTCTCTGGAGGTGCCAATGCCCATGGCAGTCAGGGACCTGCAAGGGACGAGCACCATGGGCCCTTAATGAGGTATGTGGCTAAAAGGTCAGTTGCATCTTGTTCCGGTGGGTTGTGAGGCAGAGGCAATGGAGGGCACTCCCCTCTCTCCCACCGGAAGGGTCACAGCACACAGGTAGCCACACACAGGGATAGCTCTGACACACACTGTGATCTTCCCAAAAGCGACACCCCCAAGTTCCCATCATCGACAAAATGGCCACATAAGCTGTGCTTATATGATAGGACACTTTGCAGAAAGAAGACAAATGTGTATGAGGCGATGCAATTAGTTCCCCCGTAACAAACACCTCAGATGTGTCTTCATTTCTTTTCTCTAATTCCTCTTCCATTCTCTGTATTTTCATAGTAAAACACACATAACATAAAAGTTACCATTTTAATCACTTTCAAGTGTTCAACTCAATGGGGTTTAAGGACATTCACATTATTTTATAACCGTGATGACCAACCATTTCCAGACCTTTCCATTCTCCCAAAGTGTCCTGTTCCAGCCAGGCTTCCTTTACCTCTGTCCCACCAAAGCTGTTCTTATCAGGGCCGCCAGTGACCCCCACATTGCTCAGCCCTGTCACTGGTTGGGTTGGCTTGTTCTTTCTTTTTGCAGCATTTGACCCAGTTGGTCTTCTGGGACCCATCTGCCTTTGGGTTCCAAGACCGCTCTCTTCTCTGCTGGCTGCCACTGTCTTGTGGTCCTTACATCTCGGCAGCCAGTGCCCCAGGTTGTGCTTGGGCCGAGTTTTTGTCCAGGCTCACTGGGCGATCTCCTGTCTCACAGACTTCAACACCATCGATGTGCTGATGCCCTGGACACTGTCACTGACACCTCTGATGCTACGTGCCCAGAGTAGAACACATGGTCTTTCCATGCAGTGTGAGCCCCTCACCTCCATCAGTGGGAACGCTGTCCTCGGCCACCAGTTCCCAGCTGCCACCATCTCCCACTGCCTTTCCTTTTCTCCTGTCTGCCCTCCCCGCTGCTGCTGCCTCTTAACAGAACATTAGAGAGCTTTGAAAGCCAGAGTCAGAG